ACATTGAATTCACAACCAAGTTCAACTACATTTGCAGAAATTTTTAATTCACAAAATTTCAGTGATATTAAATTAATGGTAGACGGGCAAATAGTATACGCGCATCAAGTTATATTGGCACAAAGATCACATTATTTTAAAACTTTAATAAAAAATGATTGGATGCTTGAGATTAAAGAATCCAAACCAATTCATATTCAAGAGGTGAAATATGAAATTTTCTATAACATATTATATTTCATCTATTCAGGTAAATTGTTAGAGGTAAAGGATGAAACAGATCATGCAAAAATTACAAAACTTCAAAAAATCTATATTGATGCAGAAATGCGTAAAACTCTTGAAGTGGACGCATTACATGAACTTATAGAAATCGTCATATCGGAAATGATATCGTTGATCAACATGAAAACTTGGGATAGCTTACTTATATTTTCTTGGGAAAAAGATCTTTTACGATTACGAAAATCAATTTATCGTTTTGCAAAACGTAATTGGAATGAAATTCGTGAAAGTGAATTGTTTAAAAATATTTTGTGTGAAGCAAATGTTGATATTATTGAAGAATTAATTGTCTCGGTTAAAATATGATAATCAAAAAAATCAGCTTATTTTAATTATTAGAAAATTTCATCAATTAAATAAACAAACAATTTTATATTATTTGGACTTTTTATAAGATGATATAAACATGAATAGACAAATCTTTTTTATTTCTTGTATTTTTTTTTTTTTTGTAAAATTATTTAAATTACTCCTTTTCTTCTCTCTCCCCTTCAATAAACAATTAAAAGAAATATATTTTTATTTCACAATTTCATTCATTCATTATACTATCTAAATGTTCGTCATTATCATGTATTCCTAATTCATAAAAAAAATTTTTCCATATTTGTAGAGAAATAAATCGAGACCCAAATTTGACATTTGGGTTAAAAAAATATTTTTGTTTAAAAATTTTGAGTTCATCATTTAATAATTCTTTTCCATATTCGTAGTTATTATTACTACTACTGCCACCACTACCATTATTATTATTGCATAATAAATATTTCCATTGTTGGAGTAAATTTTCTATCAATTTGATATTATATTGTTCACTAGTTCGTTGGCTAGATGTTTCCATATTATCATTAGTTTTAATAATGGCGGTGTTAGTACTATTAGTAGTAGTACTAATATAAAAAGTATCATCATCATCTTTATCGCTATCATATTTTTTAATAATTTTTCTATAATACATCAAAGGTTGAATAGAATGATTGAATGTTCTTTCATCTTCCAAAATCATCATCCTTTGTTGTTCTTCACGTGTGCAATGTATCAATCTTCCATAATAAAATTTAAAGAATGGTTCATGATATTGTGAAATTTTTTCAAGTATCCAAGGATGTAAAATCCAAATCTCTGATTCAATATCTGTCATTTTTGTACCATTTTTTTGATTTTGATTAGAAAAAATACATGTCATAATCCACCTTAGAAAAAGTTGTCTCAACCCTAATAAATTTAAATTATTAACATAGCCATGGTCATCATCACGATAAAATTGGTTATCTTCAAAAGCTAGTATAGTGCTACGAAAAACTATTTCCTGACAAAATAAAAGAGCTATGCTATTATTATAAATTCAGGATTGAAATAATAAAATCATCACAAAATCATCATCATCATTTATTTACCATTCCACCTGATTCTTCTCTGTCATAATCCACCTTAGAAAAAGTTGTCTCAACCCTAATAAATTTAAATTATTAACATAGCCATGGTCATCATCACGATAAAATTGGTTATCTTCAAAAGCTAGTATAGTGCTACGAAAAACTATTTCCTGACAAAATAAAAGAGCTATGCTATTATTATAAATTCAGGATTGAAATAATAAAATCATCACAAAATCATCATCATCATTTATTTACCATTCCACCTGATTCTTCTCCAACATAATTATTCAAGTAATTGATAATTTGATTTTCAACTTCTTTTCTTAAATCACAGTGAATATATCCATTATATCCATTACTGGTGCTACTATTATTGTACAATTTTAAACAATTTTTTAACAATATTCTGCCAGCAGTACATCTTTTAATATTAATAGGTGAAAGTTTGAATGAGTAGTCGTATTTTATTGTCCTTGAATCTAAAAGATAGTTATATGTTAAAAATAAAATTTTATCTTTTTTTATATATAATAAAAATTTTCTTCACCAATTAAATTGTTTTTGGTTATTATTCGAATATATTCATTACAAATGGTAGTAGTGGAAATATCTTTTGTTTCTACTAAATTATGATTGATTTTAATGTCATCCAAACATTCTAAAAAAGTATTGGTAATTCCTGCTAAAACATCAATTGTTGCAGACGGTTTAGCACGTGTTAGGATATCCTATAAACATAATAAAAAAAGATTAAAATTAATATATAAATACCTTTTCTTTATTCGAGTATACTACTAAATACATGCCTTTGTTATAATATCCTTTTTTGAAGAAGAATTTCTTTCATTATCATCATTAAACCCATATGTTTTTAACAAGTAAGAATACAAATTATTTGATAATTTAGGATTACTTATCAATGCTTTATACAATAAACAACGAGCATTTCTTAACTCTTCTAAGGATGGCGGTGGTTTTTGTTTTTTAATAATTCTGGTCATTCCATTATCAAGTTGTTGTTGAATCAGATCTGTTTTTTCCCTTGATAATCCAAATAACTTAGTTTCAATCGTACGTGCATATCGAATAACAAAATTTAAATGTTTGGAATCCCAACTGAAAACATCATTTCCATTTGCTGAGGTAAGTAGCTTACTGAATTGTAATATTTCATTTAATAAATTCATATTTAGATTATTAGATGGATTATTAGTAGTGTACACGAATTTTGCCATACACATACATAGATAGCTAGCTATACTAAAAATAGGTTTCATATATAAAAGAAGAAAAGGTTGCCGTGTTACGATGCCCTACTAAATGTCGTAATTTTTGTGTAGATTTTTTATATTTTGTGCCCTTTTTTTCTTATTTTTTGTATGCAGTGTTGTGCAATTGGAACATTGTAACACTATTGGAATGTTCCAATCAGGGACGATGATTTTTTCCTGTGACATAAGGTAAAATATTTTTGTGCTCAAGCCTAAATTTGTGAATTTATGTGATCTCATTTTTGCAAAATTTGTGAAGTTTTGTGGTGCTTTTTTGGTAAATGTGTGAAATTATGTGGCAATATTATGATAAAAATACATTGATAATTTAATATAAACCAATGTTTATTATGTTATAACAGATAAAGATATATAATAAACATAAAAAAATATAAACATAAAGAAGGAAGGTTAATTAATTTGAATTAAAATGCATCATAGTTAATATTTTTAAAGAATCTTGAGACAAATTTTGCCGATTATTATCCAAGATGGTATTGTAAAAAGAAAAACTCCTTTCAACTGTACAACTGGAAATTGGTAGCCAAATATAATCTAATGCAATGCTAGACAAAATTGGCAATTCATTCACTTTATCTAACCAAAACTTCTCAATCATATTTTCTCCTAAATCTAGTGGAGTTTCCAATCCACAATATATGCCCCATTCATACAAAAGATTATGTGAAGGATTGTTAAATGGTACAATTGTAGAATAAAGTCTAATGTTTCTTCGTTGAATATCTCCCAGATGAATAAAAACAGGATCAAAAACTCTACATGCACAAAATAATTCACGTGCTGGATGATTAGGTATATGTAAAGAAAATTTTAAAAATGCAGCTTCAAATGCAGCACGAAAAATTGGATAAAAATCTCTAGGAACAAAATGAAGGCTAAGAATTAATTCATCAAGACCTGAGCCAAAATTTTCAGCAGTTCTATTTGATTCTAAATATGCTGTAAGATGCTGGAGTCTTGTTTCAATATAAGGAAATACTGGTAGATTTTTTTGTTGGAAAAAATCAAGAGTTTGAATAAATTCTTGTGAAAAAATTGAAATGAAATAAACATAAATTGTAATAATGCCTCTTTCATGTTCATTTTGTAAAGTATTATGAATTTCTAATAATGTATTATTAGAATTTTCTTGCAATTCACTTTCAAAAAAATGTGGCCAGTAGTTGATATATTCTTTTGTATATAATACCATTTTAAACCATGAATTCCATCTTGTTGCATTAGGAAGTGGTATTTTACATGGTGATACTATTCCATGATGTTTAAGATGAGTTATATACCGACGTCTTCGTGCAGCTGATTTCACAAAAGCATCTTTAATATTTTGTAAAAACTTTTTTACAATACTAAATTGGGGAAATTTTATCCAAGTTTCACTATATAATAAAAAAAATTATATTCATTGTAATTATTTATTGTAATTATTTATTGTAATTATTATAATTAAATAAAAAAATTTACCCAATCAAGTTCATAATATGTGCACAGCATGGTACATGAATTAATTGTCTCATAACAGGATGTAATACCTCACGAAAACTTTTTTTCATATATGCAGCAGAGTCTGACAAAAAAACAATTGGCTTATCAAAAGGTATGTTGTATTTTGCTAAGATGTAAAAAAGTGTCTGGCCAATTGTTGAATTATTGACTTTATCTAAAAAATCAACTGAAACAAGCTTGGTGTAATTGTGGTATACAAAAATAGTATTTACTACACTACGAGCACAATCATCTAAACTTTCATCCATAATAATAGAAACTGGTTTAGAATCAAATAGCAATTTAAGAGAAGAAAAATGACTTTCAAAAATATTTGGAAGATATACTTGTCTTAGAGTTGGAGCTTTTGGAATTGCACCTCCTTCTCTTAAATGCTTTTTGAAAAAGGGGAGCAATTTATCAACCTTTTGAAGTGGTATATCAGCACCAACAAATGCTTCAATTAAATCTTCTATTACAATTTTTTTGGAATCTGCTGCTCTAAGTGTAGTTTGAAGGGTTTGTTGGTGAGATACTTGTTGTTTAGCTTTGTATTTTCTTTTATTTGATTCATGCTTAATACTATTGACATGACTGTCTATTGTTGATTTGTGTTTCCAGTCAATAGATTTGTCACAATAAATACAAAACATTATTCCAGAATCATTTCTAAAAACTTCAGGATATTCTCTGATTCGAGAATGAATTGACACCACTGAATTTTTAAGACGTTGTGAAGTCATTATTTGTTAAAGTAATAAAAATATTCTCACACAATATATAATTATAACAGTTAAAACATCAAAATATGCAAACAAATATGTAAATACTATTCAAAATAAGGTATAGTATGCAACTTTAATTAAATTCTGTGATGTAACCTATTTTTTGTGAATTTTTGTGGTGATGTAACATGATTTCTTCTTATATCACAGAAATCGCAGAAATCTGTGAAATTATGTGAAACACAAAAAATCATCGTCCCTGTCAAGAAGTCATAAATAGATTGCTTACAAATGCTAAAAATGAAATAAAAAATTAGTAGATTGTTTATACAATAACAAATATATTTTTAATAAAATTATTTATATGTTTAATTCTACAATTTAATATTTTACATATATACATATATATATATATATATAGCTATAAAGAAATACCTCCATAATAAAACTCCACAGGTATTGACGTATTAGAGATGCCACATGTTTAAACAACAATCTATGTTTAAGTAAATTCTACAATTTAATATTTTACATATGGGGCATACTGCAACAAAACCAGACAAAGTGAACATTGGTATTACCGGGAATTTCAGGGTTCAAAATTTAGTCATTTGCAATGTGATTATAATTATTAACAATTTTATAATATCCCATTTGTTATCTTAAGTGATATATAAAACTACTCCTACATAAAAATAGTTAATATGAAATTAATTTGCATCAGGTCTACTATGGAACCCTTAAGAATTATAGCACCGTTAGAAGTATTCTGAAGAAAGAATGAGGTGAAAAAATCGCTCCTTATATTTTCAAAATAAATGATACTTGGATACTTGCATATTCTGCTAGATCACAGAATTTATCATAATATAAATGCAAATAAATCCTGCCAGACTCCGATTTTTTGAATAAATGTTCTGGAATATTTATGTATTTACCTTAAATGTCTTGGTCATATGCAAAAATTTTTCAATGTTTTATGTTCATTTGAAATAAATAAATTTTAAACATGCAAACAACTGCAATCTGACAAATGTTCAAATGTGCTTTAATGACTAAAATCTGTATTTCAAATGACTTTTGGTCATATTTAGATACAAATTGATACATCTGAAGTTACATTAGTGCAGAATGGGATGTATATCAAAAAACGCAAATTAGAAGTTAGATATATAGAAAGCTTATGATTCAAAGTTTTTTTTTTTGATAAATCATTTGAAGAATATTAACTGTATTGTAAATAATTATTTATGCCAAAAAAACTGTTTCTTTTTTTTTAGCTTTTTTTTTTCGTTGTTCCTCTTTATACAATTTCAAGTATTTTGTTGGTGAAGTTTCCATTTCCACCAGCCAATCTTCTGACCTACTTGTTAGTGGAGATGGAGTTCGACTTCTTTTAAGCTTTTCCTTGTATGCCTTTGTTATTTCGTTAAAATTTTCATCTAGTAATTTCTTTAAAAAAATATTTTTTAAGTATTTCAAACAATCAAAATGAAATATTATAATTTGAGGTCTTACTCTTAGTTGTATTAAATTAATGGTCGCATGTTCAAGGCATTTGAAATCATAAAATGTTAATGGGAGTTCCAAGGTTGAAATGAGCTGGAATATATATATTTGTCTGTATGGAATATGCATTTGATATATCTTGAGAGACATTTCTAAAAAAAAAAAATAAAATTAGATTTTCAGAAATAATAATAAATTTACTATACTATGATTATAAAAATAAGATAACTTACTGGAAACAACTAACCCATACACATTGATACTAGAAATCATATGTTTATTCTCATCTGGTAACTTAATGAAAATATGTCTTAACATATCATGCAAATGACCCATGATCTTTAATTCGTCTGATATTTTCTTTTTGGGATCTGCTATTTCATCATCTTTGGCCAGCTCCAATACCAGAATTTCAGTTTCTCTCCTAGTATATTCTATAGTCAGGTCTGGTATTAAAGCATTTAATATCCTGTCTTTTAAATTAGCATTATTATTCCGTCTAACTTTATTTGCTTTAAGGGGCCTAAATTATTGATGCAAATATTGCAATTATTTAATGTATCAAAGTAATATTTATTCAAATAAAAATATACAACTTGCCTTTGTGTATGAATGATATATTTTTCTTCATTATAAAATAGATTACTCATAATAAATGAAAACATATCTCTGGACAATTGAGGCTCTGATACTTGTAACTTGAAAAATTTTTTGTTCAAGTTGAAAGAAATTATCCTGCAAACAAATAAAATATTGATAATTGAAATACACTATTGTCTGCTGGATATAAACATAAACGAATATTTAATACTTACATTTTTTCAAACAACTTTCTTGTAAATGATTTAATGCAATCCTTAAAATTGAAACTTAGAATCTTTTCCTGTTGATAAAGAACTTTTAGAATTTCGACACCCTCCTCAAGATTTTGTATATTTGACAATTTGTTTATATATTCTAAAATGTCATCATTAGATAAATCCACACTATCTAGTTTAAATTTAAACATGAGCTTTATTTCTTTCAAATCCCCAGTTTGATATCTGGTTTCCTGAAGATTATTGATGCCAAGTTTGATTACGTCACTATAATAATAATAAATTTATAACCATGTCAGATATTATTAGTAATTCTTTTCATATTACTATATAATATAATATTGGAACTCACTCATCTTTCGCCTTTTCAAGTTCTAATGATAAATCTTATAAATATCATCATTAACATCGTCACTATCAGATTATTATTAAAATGATTAATGTGAAAATATTTTGATTAATAAACTAGAGTGACGACGAGTGGCGGGCGATAGCCACCATCCTTCTTAAAACACTTACTTGTGTTGTTCCTTGTCATCTTCTCGGTTTCTTTTCCTTTGGTTTCGATCACCCATTTTTTGAAAAGAATTGTTAAAAATAAATGAAGTTTGACGCGTCACACTAATTATTTATCCTATTGGTTTTTTTATGGTAGGACAGACGTGAATTGTTTTTTTTTTCCTTGGAAAACCAATTTATTTTTTGACAGAGTCCAAGATGACAAAATGTGAACGTTGTTGTTTGGCTTGGTTTGGGTCTCCTAAAGAAGAAGTGTTAATAACTAACCAGAGTACTTTTTTTTATTTGTATTGATATTTTTTTATTATTATAGATATTTTAATTGGAAATCAAAACGCGGAGCAGATCTTGCTGGATAATTACAAGATTTTCATTGATAATATTTTACTTTTCGTAATCCATAATAATTTTATTATAAATATTATAATTACAAGTCAAGGCAGCACACCGTTGAATATGAAACATTTCAAATACGAAACATTTTGATATTAATATGCAATGTTTGATTATCGGAAATTGGCAAGTGTTGAAGCACACACGCTACCTTGAACACATTACAGTCATTCACTCGTTCCTCGTGTACATAAGGCTAATCTGACTTGCCTCCCCCGATGATACAACGATGCAACTGAATTCCAGGGGGGGATCGCTCTGCCCTGGAGTTTACTGAGACTGCATCATTGTTAATGACACTTTCACTAATCATCCCAGACCAGAGATGGCCGCTACGTTAGCCAAAAAGTTGATTGTAACAATCCTACCTCTAGGATAAGGATGGCTCTGTAACCAAGTCGCAACTCTGCTGATGAATTGTAGTGCCATGTGAATATCCAGATCCATCAAAGCAACAAGAACCTGCAGCTCGTTTCAAGCACAGGAGGTTGCAATTCAGAGCAGGGTTTGTGGCCTTGAAATTGCATTTGGACTCTGATGTTAAGAGGGAAGTTGTAAAATAGTGTTTGTTTTGTATAATCATTTTCATAAATGCTCTGTTTTTTTGATACTAACCAACTTATAATTTTGGGTCTATCTTATAGATTAAAATTATTGCACGATTATGTACATCCTTGTCAGCAATATAGCCAACAAGAAAAAAGTCATAAAATGGTTCGGATTTTGTTTGGTATGCTATAAATTAATCATTTTCATAAATTTTCTGCTTCTCTTTAATTTTTGTTTGACCAACTGAATTTGATATTTTAGTAAATGGGGGTAGGGTTGTTGGTGAGCAGGCATGCCACTGACAAGACAGGGGACGCCTTTGAGATATACCAGCCAAACTCATAGAAAGGGATCTTTTGTCCAGACTTAGGGTCACATGGATGTTAAGTGCAGAAAATGTACACTATCAATGTATATTTTTTTCAACAAAATAAACATTTAAATAATTAATTGTTAAATATTATTACTTTTCTTTTCATAAAAATTACAGCAACCCAGGACTCAAAAATCTGAATTCAAAGCAGCAATCCAGGTTGCAACCTCCAGAGTTGCTGAATTTTGAACCAGTTGCAGGTGCCAACTTTTATGCTAGCATGGCAATAACATACAGCAATCATCACACAAGCACCAGCTATCAGTAGTCAATGCCCATATGATAACAGCCAAGCCTGGTCTGAGGAAAGATAAGGGAAAGTTTTGTCCAAAGCCTTCCAACTTGTGATGGACTTTACCCTTAGGAAAAAATTCCCATGGTTATAAAGGGTATTTGCATGTTTGTGATAGGAAAGTTTTAATTAAATCTGACACCTGCAATCAACATCAGATTTATTATTCATGAGCAACCACAATTGATAATAATTTATTTTGTTTACCTCAGAGATCTGGGTAGACACGCATTATTAAAAATTTCATTTATGCATGGCCTTGGTATCCTTACTGCCTAGGTGATGCAATTGTTTGTTATGTCAATGATGATATCAAATGTATTGAATAATAATCATGACCATCATGAATATTTGATGGATGGAGGCATTCACATACAAGGAAATGATTAAATAGCTAAGTCATGTTTGTTTTATTAAAGATGTATGATTAATTATATTTAAAAAATTATTATTTTATTTCACCTTTGTAATGGCATTAATTTCAGTTGAATTAATGTTATTAAATGTTTTTTTTATTTACAATAATTATTTTTTTTGATACACAGTGAGTCTCGGTATAGCGGATTTGGGGGTTTAGCGGATAAATTTTCAAAACCAAATTTTTCTATAATTATTTTATCTCGGTATAACGGATTTAACGGATTTTTCATATAAATTCGGTTTAACGGATATTTTTTAAAAATTCATATATGTCACTTAAAATAAATTTCTCTCGATATTACGGATAATGATGATCTTTGCTCTTTTGGGCTAATAAGAGTAATGACGCGCAATTATTAATATTAATATTAATGATGTAAAATAATTAGAAATAAACAGAATGTTAATTGCAATTTAATCCAACATATTGCTAGCTATTTCTTGGCAATGACACTATCAATATGTCATTTCTTTTTCTTACTCATATGCTAATGATTAAAGATTGTTTGTTAATGACTAATTCTGAAGTCATCATTCTTTATTCTTTACAAATGACCTCACTCTTAATTATTTTAGAAATGCTATTGTATTACTTCAAATAGGTATAAAAGATCTTTGATTTGGGAATTGAAAAATATCAACTTGATGTGTAATAATTAATTAAATTTTTAAATTTTTAATTAATTTAATAATTATTATTATTTGCATTCATTATTCAAAAATAAAATTAATTTTTTAATGTAACATGTATGTATCACATGATTTAATCAAAAATCCGATTTTTTACAGATATCTCGGTATAGCGGATGTCTCGGTATAGCGGATAAAATTTCTGGAACGAACATATCCGTTATACCGAGACTCACTGTGTACATCAAACTCAGTCCAAAATCTATCATATTTATTATATATATTAAAATTTCTTTTTTGATTAAAAAAAAAATTCAAACATTTGTTTATTTTTTTTAGCACATTTCAATTAGATTTTATTAGATCACATTCAGCAAAAATCTCAGAAGACTACATTGTGCATTAATTCTAAAATAAAAAAATATGTTTTAATGTTTTAGTATAATCAACAATTTTCTTCAATTGTTTTTTTAGAAATAACAATAATTATCTTTTATTTATTTGTTTATCTGTTTTAGTTGATCAATAAATCTCAGGTCTCA